GTAGTCAAAAACTCCTACTTACTTTCAAGTGCTACAGAGACATTTGGTTATCGTCGATTGGTGTGGCTCTAATTTAGTTTATAAAATGTAAAAAAGTCTAAAAAACGTTTAGATTTGCACGACCAATTTATCTTTATAGTTTCGTTTTTGCAAAGCCCGTGCGTTTATTTACATTATACGTAAACGTAATATTCATTACAAGTAAATCACGATTCCATACTTTTAACGTCATTGAACACGATGCAATTTTAATGGAGAGCGAATCAAGGCTACGCGCCAGTTAATTGGGATACTGGAAACAAAGCCTATAGTTAGCAAGTTTATGGTTTACGGTCCAATGAGCAGACAAACTAAATAATGAAATAATTTCTGTACACCATACAGCGACAAAAATTTAAATCAGCGCGGCGTGCATGTAGGCATACCTATCTATATAGATTTGCATATTATGTAGGCACGTATCAGTGTATGTATGTACCTAATAAAATTGGTGAAGTTATACGTCAAATATGAAAAACCAATCTCAAAAGCCGCTAATTGCAGGCAAATTACCAATTCCACTCGTTTTCTTTTTTGTGTGTCAAACGTTTAACGCAATATTTTTAATAAAAAAGACAAATAACAGCTGCATTTTATGTTAAATGGATAGAGCACATCATAGAGCCTCTATGTACCAAATTTCAAGATCGTGATATGACCTCATCGCGAATAAAATAACTTAAAAGGAAGGGTTCGTCGCTTGACGCAACGTTGAAGTCTCCTATATAATTTTCAATTTTAAGCCGTTTTGCGGCGTTTCTGGGAGCATTCCCAGGTGCTATTGGTAGTGCATTAAAAACCCTTCATAATATATATATTCTATAGAAAATAGGTAGCTAATGAGCTTCAGCGGCAGGAGTTGAGGGGCTAAAACCTTGCAGTTCCATGATAACATTAAATAAATCTAGCGTATTTTTATATTATCTACTTAATATTATGGTAATTTATTATTACTTTTTACTCATAAATCTATTTATTAATAATAATTTAATATCCTTTTTTATTAACAGCTGATTATACAGTGATTTATTACATCGTAATACATTAAAACTGCAGGAAGACGAAATAGAAGTTTCAAGAGAAGTTTGAAAAAGCCGTCGACCAAATGTTAATTTAATTTTAATTATGCAAGAGAGAAATCATTCTACAAGCCCTCAATATGGTGTTCTTTAATTATCATTAAGCCTAGAAATCTACCATTGCTACGTTTCAGTTTAGCCACTTTTCAATAAATTGACTCACATTTATGAAAAATTGCTGTGACCAACTGTATACGTAATGATAATTATATTCAAACGAACGTAATACTTACTTACTATCTAGAGTCGTGCACTTGTGTTTCTACAATTACAAAAAAAATGCAAGAAATATTGGATTAGCTAACCAGCCATTGAATACATTTACGGATTAAATTAAGTAAAATGTCAAACTAATTTTACTCGCAATAACAACAACTCAATAATTGACATAAAAGCAAGCTACAAATACTTTTTTTTTGTTACTTATAGAGTAAAAATTTATCTGAATCGCAATTAGAATAAAAAGAAATAAAAAAAAGAAGAAAGGAGAACAATGGTAACGTGCCTATCACGTTGAGGTTAGCTACGCCGGGATTCGTTTCAGCAAGTAGATATCCATATATTTAAATGGACCTTGTTGGAGCATACGTAATCCTAAAAATGTAGCATCGTACTACAGATGGCGTTTACCGCGCCATTTGTAGTATTTTCTAAAACGCGCTGTTAAGACAGCAGGTAAAAGTTGGTCTGTGTCTGCGACACGCTGATGAGATCCAAGAAGATCGAAATCGCGATCCGCGTCTGGCAGTTTCGACAGAATACAGACCACTTCGAAGTATTTTATTCAAATGTGTTCCTTATTAAATTTGTTTTTGAAAAGTTCGTTCTTTTTCCAAAAATACTGTAAGACAAAGGCTAACTACCATCGGAAGTATTTAGACTGTGTGCAAATCTAAGTACAGATTGCACTGAACTCTTGGCATTTACGATCAAAATTCGGAACCAGTTCCTTGCGGCTGGGCGCGCGCCAGCATAGCCTTTATATCAGCGTGTGTGTACGAATGTTCGTGTATTTGTATTCGCCGTTCGCGCATATCCAGATTTCAATCGAATTAAATATACACATGGCAACGGACAATAAATCGCTTTGCAAAGACTCAGCTGGCCTTGCATATCCACCTCTCGACTTTGGAAGAAAGGGCAGAGGAAAACCCGTCTTCATTAATGCAGTTGTCGTCGGTATTGCCAAAACATAATAAATTTTCATTAAAGTATTGGGCGCACTTTTTAGCAATGAATGCGCGTCGTAATTAAAATAAGTATGTGGAGCTATAATCTACGTGCAAGAAGTTATCGATAAGGTTAATTAACAAAAATAAAATCATTTTACTGAAAACCTAAGTAGTTAGGTACATACATATATTACCAATGAACATAGTGGATAAAATGATACGTATGTATTTTTTGATAAGTTGAGAAATGCTGTACCGATAGGGCGAACCGGAATAGGGATTTTTATTTTTTAAGGTTATCTTGTATCACAAATAGATTCTAGTTTTCGTAGCCATCGTTTAAATCATTGTCAGTCTTCGAACTTTTTAGCGTTCATTTAGAGCTTTTTACTCTCAACGTTCAGTTCTTCTTCATAAGGTGGTAGGTCTGAAGACTTCGAACAAAAAGCCCGAAAATTGACAATGTTCTACGTATTAAATCTGTCCATCTCCGTGGTTCTCATTTTTGCGGTTCAAATCAAAATTTTGTGAGCGTTTCGGGTGCACCAGTATATAGGAACAACGGTAAGTTATTCGATTATTATGGTCTAGTCTTCATTATGGTTCAAATTAGAGACGGACCGGGTATCCATTATGGATCGGGTATCTGGCGGTGGATCAAATACTTTTTTAGGATCCGACGTTTATAAAACTTTTATACCATTATAATAAAACTGCCACCCCTGGTATTACTAATTATAATAATTACATTATTAGTGTTGCACTCAAATTGCGACTTGTGATGTTTAAGTACATCTTTATTAATTTTAAAGTTTTACAGTCTCCGATATTTGCTGCTTGTGTAGATAAGGAGTCTTCAGTTTAAATGTCGGGCATTAAACTGATTTATTGCCTCATTGGCGAGAATTATCTGAAAGGAGCCACTTAAACCACTCAAACTAAAAACAGTGTTAACGAGATGTTTGAGCGGTGCATTTATCTTTTACGATGAACAATGAATATCAACAGTAAATTATCGACGACATTTTGAAACTTGATTTTATGCACTATACTCGGAAATTAAAGAATTAACGAGTTATTTTCTTTAGTTGCTACCGTTCTTCAGTCAACCTATTGGCATAAAGTATAAGCATCCTCATAAATATCTAAACTACATATACATTTATTATATAAAGATAACATTTTAATGGATATGAAAAATCCCAACCATAATGGATTATAAGCATGAAAATATTTGTGTCTGCAAGAAGCACTAAAATTACACCATTTAATTCTTTAAATATGTGAAATACAATCAAAATCCCTTACAATGGCAAAACGAAAAACCCATAGTACAATATCGCTTCTAACGACATATTGTTTACAGTAACGGATACTTTTGTTTACTTTTAGAGTACAGAGAATAGTGGATTCGAATCCGGGATTCCGATTTTTGGGATTTCAAATTAATCTTACTGTCTACTTATGACTCACGGAGAAATCCATTGATAACCAAAAGAGAAATGAAATGTACTGTCCATGCAGTGCGAGTGCGACCTATCATATGTACTCGTACCATAGTTGCCCGATCTAAAGCTAAATCGATTTCAATCAGCAATTATCGATCGAGAATATTTAGCATTTCTTTCAGCGACGTCATATTTACATACAAACACTTTAAGATCTGTAACTTTAAAGCGGTTTCACATTCATCGTCCTCAGGTCGTCAGTCCTAAGACTGGTTGGATACTAATCTTCGCATTTCTCTAAAACTAGAACAACCCATATCCTTTACTATTTGCGAACAGTAATCTAGTCTAGGTCTACCTCTACTCCTCTTAAGTCCTGTTTCTGCCTCTAATATGTCTCTGACATTAGACCTTCATGACTGAAAGAGTCGTAGACTCCTTTGTTCTTCTATTCTTTCTAATACCTCTTCATTCCTAACCTTTTCTATCTACGGTATCCTCATCATTCGCCTATCTTTTTTTTCCGTCCCATCCGTTCATGTTTCGCACCCGTACAGCGTCGCGCTCCAAATATACACCTTTAACAATCTTTTTCGAATTTCTAAATTAATCGTTCGCGAACATAGAAGTGACTTCTTTTTGTTGAAGGCGACTCGACCCTGCGCTATCCTCTGTTCTATATCTACTATTCCTTTCATCCTGACTTATGTGACTCCTTAGATACCGAAAATCAGCCACTTTTTCCAATTTTTCGTCTCCTATCGTTATATTCGTTCTTTTCCTACTTTTTCTTCACTTCTTCATTCTAAGAATATACTAACTCTGTTGGCGAGTTAGCTGTCCAGTACAGATAATCACTGACGAAATCTGATCACATGGAGAAACGTCACCGTGACTTTGGTTTCTTTGTATATTTACTACCTGACTAGTTCATGCGATAATAAGTTTGCATTTTAACAGTAAGAAATTGTTGGCATCCTAGGAAATAGTAGGTACTTTTATCGTTACGTAGAATGTGATTTACGGACTGCACACATAATGCGTTTTTTGTGCCAGAGACAGGCCGTGTGTTGTGTAACGTGACAACTTTGCTAGGAATTCCACACAAAATCAGCATTCTGACACTGTTTTCGTGCCAACCGACACCTGTGCATATTTACGTAAGCTTTCCTGATTTTGTGGTCAGTGGTCAATTAAGTTCCTGTCAATCCTAATCAGGAAAACAACGCATTACGTAAACTAATTAATAGTAAAATGTATACCTCTGATAAATAATCGTCTACCCATGCAACACTTCACATCACTGCATCCAAAAGAAGCACCGCGTAAGAAAACAACTAACTGTAAACACACTCAGATCAAGAACATCATCGATGTATAGTTACCGAGAGGCCGTCAGTGAAAAATTCGCGATATTTTTGACCATACGACCCGTATTAAGAAAGAAACGATCCAAATGTCTGCTTAACAACGATACATCGGCCTTTCAAGGCTATACGAGGCGCAACAAGTGGCTAATAACAGCGACACAGAGCACGTGCTGCCCTGCATTAACTAACACCTGACAATTACAGTAATAATCGCGCCAGAGACCGAAGCAACCAGCGAATGAACGAACGGACGGACGAACGAACAAACCAAAGACCGAACAGAGACTGTGTACGAGAGTGTATATGAGTGCTGTAGGTTAGTATCCGCAAAAAGAAATGACTAGACGTTAAACTCGGCTGCACACTGATGCAGACGAAGGCATGGATCGCAGTCAAGGAACCAAGTACCAAGTAGTCGCGGAGGCAGCCAACAGTATGGCCTTGCCGTTACACCTGGTGCAGTCACGAAAGTTCACGATTATTGTGGCCATGCACCGGACCAATCCTAGATGAGATGTCTAAATCGCCACTTCGTTCGTGTTGTCTGTTCCTACCATAACTTTACGATCGCAATAAATGAGGTGAACTATCAGACCTTAAGTGAGAATGAACCAAGCTGTTCGTTGTCTATATCTTCAAATCCAAAATTGAAATTGGCAAATGTTGCTAGCCTACGACAAGTAGGAAGTAATGATACTTAATAATACTTCAGTCATGATTACTTCTTCCATGCATACGGACCCAGGATCTATTACTGTACTTTTTTTACTAAGTTTTCTCTTCATTTTTATACTTTTTTGTTTTGCAGATTATGTTAGGTTACGATTATCACAGATTATTTGTTTTATTTTACAGCTTATGCCGGTTAATGTCCTTATTTTCAGCGTCATTCGACGTTCGGCTACATTCGTGACTGCACCGGGTGTAACGGCTAGACCCTTGTGCAGCTACAGTCAGGCATCAAGAGAAGAGAACATCGCTTTCTGGTCTCCACAGCGAGTCCCCCAATGAACCGGTTACCGATTCATGCAGCAAAAGCAACGGTGCTGGACACCGCAAAACTGGAACGACTGACTGGATGGCTGGTTGGTCACTCACTCACTCACAATCAAGCAAATGCTAATTTTGTTCCCGTGTCGCGTTCGCTGGTTTCGTTTCTGTTTCGATTGAGATGTTAAATTCGATCGACTAGAAATGCTCGAACAGGTCCCCGCTCCAACTGATAGCGAGAGAGCATTCTTAAGATACTGGAAGTTACGATCGTCAGGAATGACATGCGACAAAATCAACGAACGAAATTGCCTTCAGAACTTTTGCAATGAAGTAATTCTTATTACGTAACTGGCAGTTGATATTTCACTTCTAACTGTAGTGTTTCATAGTGGTTGACAAGGATCTTGCTACTCTAACTACCTGCCAAAATGAATTTACAACATATGAAAATCTGAAATAAGTAGCAATCCTGCAGGAGGTGCAGGGCATTACAAAACAAGAAAAGTTTTCGAGAAAAACGGCTAGTCCGGCCCTGTTGGGATCATGCAGGACATTGCAACGCCGCATTCAATCAGCTGCAGCATCCGTGTTGTTCAAGTATTTCTTTGTGTTTTGTGTTCTTAATACCATGTCGAAATGTACTTTAAATTGTACTTATTAGCGATTTACAAACTAATTATTTAATTAATTGTTATCTAAATATTATTACGTACAGTGGCATAGTAGTAAGCTGTCGACATTTACTTTATTAATTGTTCTACAACCGTCATTGTTTACATTTTTCATCGATGTAGTTGCTTAATTGTTATCTCTCTATACGTTACTAATTCACGCCCAGGGCCGGCTTCGGATTGCAACTTCCTACAAATGTTTTTGTCCCATAACGCGCTGCTTTACTACGGTTCCTTATTACATATAATTAACAGCATTCTATTTCCTATGTTGCTATCTATTACCTACTACCTACTTCAAATTAAGGCCTTACTCTTTGTAGTTTTAATAAAATATTTATAGTAAAAGAACTAAAATCCATTATTCAAACTCTTGTCCTTAGAAGAACTGATGATTCTATTGAATTGCATTTCAATTGTAAGTGGATTCTCAGCCCAAAATATCAATTTGAATAAATGGACAAATAAATCTTACTTCTACCATTTAACATTTGAAAGCATCAAAAGGGAGAGTTTAGGAAGTAAAATTGCACAAAATTCTCGTTAAACTTATTAAATGCTTGCTATGTATTATTTGCGTTATATGAACCGATTCGAGCCACTTTTGAATTCTCTATTTCGTTACCTAGATCTTATATTGAGCTCAAATTCTGCATATATTTTAAAATTGTCAATTTAATATGACGTATTCAAACGTTTTACATGCCCAAGCGCAAGTACAAGCCTCTGAAAATTCGTAGTTTATGACGAATCACTGGGTTTGAGCATTCAAATGTGGAATACAGAAAGTACGAGGGTGGATTGATAAGTTTCCGGCCTAACCAAGAGATGACGCCACTAGGCCTACCTTGAGGTGACATTCTATAGTACCATCCTTGGATAGCTTGTAGCTATAGTTTCAGCCCGATCTCCTTGCTAGTGTAGGTTTGACAGCACGCTGAACAAGACGCCTCTGTGGTTTTCGTAAAAATGGAAAAGCAGGAAAATCGTGCTGTCATCAAATACTTTTATTTGAAGGGGTTAACGCCGAAGGAAATTAAAAAAGAGATGGACTCAACACTGGGGACATCCTCCCCGTCATATTCAACCGTTAAGCAGTGGGTTTCCGAGTTTAAAAAGGGTCGTGTGAGCACCTCTGATGGGCCTCGCTCAGGACGCCCCGTTGAGGTCACAACTCCAGATATGATCGAAAAAATTCATCAAATAGTGCTGGGAGACCGCAGATTGAAAGTGCGTGAGATAGCTGAGACCTGTAAGATGTCATATGAACGTGTGCAACATATTTTGCACCAACATTTGCATATGGAAAAGCTCTGTGCAAGATGGGTGCCGCGTTTGCTAACAGTCGACCAAAAATTGATTCGAAAAAACATTTCTACCGCAAATTTGTCATTGTATAAGCGTAATCCAAGCGAATTTTTGCGTCGATTCGTAACCGTTGACGAAACGTGGGTCCACCACTACACTCCTGAAACCAAAGAACAGTCTAAACAGTGGATTGGACCAGGGGAACCAACTCCAAAGAAGGCAAAAACAATTTTTTCGGCGAACAAGGTTATGGCTACTGTTTTTTGGGATGCAAGAGGTATTATATACATTGATTACCTTGCAAAGGGTAATACTATCACTGGTCAATACTACGCAGACTTATTGCAACGTTTGAGCCACGAGGTGAAAATTAAACGACCTCATCTGGCGAAGAAAAAAATCTTGTTTCATCACGATAACGCACCAGCGCACACGTCAATCGTTGCGACGGCTAAAATCAACGATCTAAAGTTTGAATTGATGCCGCACCCTCCTTACTCTCCAGACCTAGCCCCGAGTGACTATTTTCTGTTCCCTAATCTCAAAAAATGGCTTGGCGGTAAGAGATTTGCGGACAATGAAGAAGTAATCGAAGCTGTAAATGGTTATTTTGAGGAGCTTGACGAATCAGTCTATAGAGATGGCATTAATAGACTGGAACACCGCTATGAGAAATGTATCAGCCTTGGAGGAGATTATGTTGAGAAATAAAAAAAAAAAATTTTTAAAAACCTTGTTTTTCTTGGTCAGGCCGGAAACTTATCAATCCACCCTCGTATTTAGTGAGTACTCGAATATTCTTGGCGTTAATAAAACAGTTTAACAACAACGAAAGATTCCTTTATTCAGTAAGAAACCTTCATCTTCACGAAGAATCAAACATAAGACAGAGTTTAAACTGCAATTATTTTTTCTGTGTCCAATATATTGATGAAAGCGATCAACTGTAAATCATACCTGCCACAATTTCCAGAAAACGATTCAGGTGGGATCTCACGATATAAAATGGAAATTTATAATGCAATGGATAATCCTTAACCTAAACTAACTTTTTTGCGATTCTGTTGATTACTGTAGAAGTAGATATTAGATCCCCATTCAAGGAAATTTTAGTATAGAGATTATGACGGTAGGATCCTGAAACTACCTCCCTTCAAACCCTTAAACATATGGGGTAAATGAAATTTGTCTGCATCTTAAAAGTCAGAGTTTTAATGGATCGTAGCCCCTCGTTCCACGAACATCTTTTACTGGAATGTTGATGATTTCTTCCAGTTGGGATATGCATTATTCTCTCGCTTAAAATTTGTTACACTATAACGATGTAATAAACAAACGGATACGTAGCAGCAGGTATTTGTTCGTTAGCATCATTTCAAAGAACATTGTGTATTTCAATTATCTCCGTGCAGCTCCCAAGGCGATTTAGTAACTCCGCATAAATAAAAACGTATATTAAAGAAATAGAGCAGAGAACGTTTTAAAATTGTGATTGTCTAACTTAAGTGCATTCTCGGGAGCATCTTCGAGCTCAAAATTTATTCAGCAGAATAATAATGGTTGGTATATTAAGAAGATAAGGGCTTTCATTTTGCTGTTGCTGAATCGGAGGAAGGCCTTGGATTAAGTACTACTTTCGGCCTTGTCACTCAGCTCCTGCTCTTATATTCTATCTCTCTCTCTCACTCTCACACTATCTTTCTTTCTCTCACACACTCTTTGCTGCGTTCGTCTAGAATCTAGATCTATATAGAATGTTTGTCGTGAAGCTCGCTATACGAGGGTGGATTGATAAGTTTCCGGCCTGACCAAGAAAAACAAGGTTTTTAAAATTTTTTTTTTTTTATTTCTCAACATAATCTCCTCCAAGGCTGATACATTTCTCATAGCGGTGTTCCAGTCTATTAATGCCATCTCTATAGACTGATTCGTCAAGCTCCTCAAAATAACCATTTACAGCTTCGATTACTTCTTCATTGTCCGCAAATCTCTNGAAGAAGTAATCGAAGCTGTAAATGGTTATTTTGAGGAGCTTGACGAATCAGTCTATAGAGATGGCATTAATAGACTGGAACACCGCTATGAGAAATGTATCAGCCTTGGAGGAGATTATGTTGAGAAATAAAAAAAAAAAATTTTTAAAAACCTTGTTTTTCTTGGTCAGGCCGGAAACTTATCAATCCACCCTCGTATTTAGTGAGTACTCGAATATTCTTGGCGTTAATAAAACAGTTTAACAACAACGAAAGATTCCTTTATTCAGTAAGAAACCTTCATCTTCACGAAGAATCAAACATAAGACAGAGTTTAAACTGCAATTATTTTTTCTGTGTCCAATATATTGATGAAAGCGATCAACTGTAAATCATACCTGCCACAATTTCCAGAAAACGATTCAGGTGGGATCTCACGATATAAAATGGAAATTTATAATGCAATGGATAATCCTTAACCTAAACTAACTTTTTTGCGATTCTGTTGATTACTGTAGAAGTAGATATTAGATCCCCATTCAAGGAAATTTTAGTATAGAGATTATGACGGTAGGATCCTGAAACTACCTCCCTTCAAACCCTTAAACATATGGGGTAAATGAAATTTGTCTGCATCTTAAAAGTCAGAGTTTTAATGGATCGTAGCCCCTCGTTCCACGAACATCTTTTACTGGAATGTTGATGATTTCTTCCAGTTGGGATATGCATTATTCTCTCGCTTAAAATTTGTTACACTATAACGATGTAATAAACAAACGGATACGTAGCAGCAGGTATTTGTTCGTTAGCATCATTTCAAAGAACATTGTGTATTTCAATTATCTCCGTGCAGCTCCCAAGGCGATTTAGTAACTCCGCATAAATAAAAACGTATATTAAAGAAATAGAGCAGAGAACGTTTTAAAATTGTGATTGTCTAACTTAAGTGCATTCTCGGGAGCATCTTCGAGCTCAAAATTTATTCAGCAGAATAATAATGGTTGGTATATTAAGAAGATAAGGGCTTTCATTTTGCTGTTGCTGAATCGGAGGAAGGCTTTGGATTAAGTACTACTTTCGGCCTTGTCACTCAGCTCCTGCTCTTATATTCTATCTCTCTCTCTCACTCTCACACTATCTTTCTTTCTCTC